AAAGTGAAGACACGGGCATGCTTTCCCCAAATATTTCAGCATTCCCTGCTTCTGATGTCAAACTGACACACAGTGCATGAATCTTGGACGTCATTTGTTGACAATACACACACAGACCCACTCAGGACCAAGGACATTTCTTAGGCATCTGTCGGAAACCACTCAGCCAACTCTCCCAGGAGGCCATCACTGTTCTGAAGGGGTGTCTTTTATTTTTTCGCCTGTGTTTTTTATTAATTTTGCCTGTCCCAGAATTTCACATAAAACAGGACATAATTTCTGGCACAGAACAGAATGTACTTGTATCAGCTCATGGCTGTGTAACAAATATCCCACATTTAACAGCTTTTAAACAACCATATCTACCATTTCACAGCTTTTGCAGGCTGGGAGCCAGGACAGGCACCAGGAGCCTCTGGGCTGCTTCCTTGCTGCTCAGGTGCTTGGGGACAGGACTCAGTCACTGCCTCAGTTCCTTCCTAGGTGCTAACTGGAGGCTGGCATAGTTCACATCCTCATCATGGGGCTTCTCCACAGGGCAGCTTGCAGGGGGCAGCTGGCTTCCTTCTGAGTGAGGGAGAGAAAGAGAAAGCAAGCAAGAAGGAAGCAGAGACTTTTGTCACCTACCCTCAGGAGGCCATCACTTTGGCCATATTCTATTTGTTGGAAGGAAGTCACACACAGGAGGGAACCAGGCAGGGGCATGGGTTTCAGGAGGAAGGTGACCACCAAGCGTGTCTGAGAACCTGCCAAGCACCCTTGGGTGGAGCATCTCTCCCCGGTGTATGTGAGCAACCTTGTTTGCTGGTCACCGTCTGGGAACAGCACCCCAGGGCCCCTTTCCAAATGCCCTTTGGCAGCATAGCAGAAACCACAGTGACAGCCCTGGGTCCGTGTCCCCCTGTGTGGCTTCCTGGTGGGAAGATGTCCCCTCCCTGTGGCTGAGGTGGCCTAGACCCCCAGGCTGAAGCTGAACGATGCCCTGAGGGCCTGACCAGTGCCTCTCCCATCCTCCCAGGAAGATGTGCCCTTTGGGGACTCCCCATTCCCACAGCAGATGGAGTGGGGCACCATGGGAAGGGGTGAGGAGCCCACAGCCCAGGGCTGTCTGTGTCCAGGGAGAGCAGGCCCCGTGTTTGGCTCCTTCACACTACGCCACCTTCATTTTCTCAGTAAGGGCCAAGGACAGAGAGATAGACGGAAAGGGAGAGCCAGCCAGATAGAACCAGGAGATGGGCAGACAGACAAGGGAGTGCACAGAGCAGGTTCTGGGATGTGGATGGACAGATGGACAGATGGATGGATGGACACAGGAAGGCTGCTGGCCACACCAGGCCAGCGGGCCTCCCAGCCTTCACTGGTGTTTGTGAGGGGACACACGAAGTCTGGTTCTGCAACATGGGAGATGGTGATAGCTGCATAATACTGAATGTACTTAATACGCTTAAGTATACTCTACATTTAAATGTGGTTACTATGGTAAACAACTTGTTACGTATATGCTAACACAATAAAAAAAGACATATAGTTAAATGCTGCTAGATGGGGTGGCCCAAGCCTACAGTACTACCAGCACTCTGGGATGGCAAGCTCAAAGTCCAGCCTGGACTGCCAGTGACTTAGCAAGGCCCTGTCTCCAAATAAAAAAATCAAAAGAGCTGGGGCTGTAGCTCCATGTGAAGACCCTGCGTTCAATACCCAGTACCACAGTGACTAAACGAATAAATGTCAAAGTGCCCAGCGTTGGTCCAAGCTGGAGTTGCATGAGCTTCCTCAACACAGTGGTGCCAGTGGGGCTTGAAGGCTGAAGAAAGGTGAGGGGAAGTGAAGTGGGCGCCCAGCAGAGGTGGGAGGCGGGGTGGAAGGACAGATGGGCGGCTATGAAGTCACCCTGGCAGTGGGTCAGGACCAGCACCACCAGGGCCTGGGAGCCTGGAAGTGTGGAGCCGTGTGTGTGTGTCTGTGTGTGTGTGATGACACCCCATCCTGACGCACACACCGCTAGCTAGATGAGAAGGGCTTGCAGGGGAGATGGCCAGGACAGCCCTCCAAGAGGGCCAGGGCGCAGGGGCAGGCAGTGGGTCCTCACAGCTCACGGCCTGCGCAGGTCACCCCTGCTCTCTGGCAGGCTGGCTGGACTAGAAAGAAGAATGGGGAGCCCGATCAAAGCCGAATTTCCAGTAGGCAACACGCACACTAGTGTGAACATATCCAATACCATGTGGGACTAAAGAACGACCCTCCCGGCCACCCCCTGACACTTCCCCTGTCCTGTCACCTTTGTGGTCCTTGCAGGCTCTGTGGTGACCCGCCTCCTGTGTCCATTTTCTACTCTGAGATACGGGGCCCGACAAGCACATAAACCTGTCACTGATGTGTCCCCAGGGCCTAGCTCAGGCCCAGTACACAGTAGGTGTTCCATGAATAGCTACTGAAAGATGACAGGGCTGCCTCTCTAGAAGGGGTATTGAGCCCAGGTCAGGGGTGCAGGCGAGTAGGGGCCACTGGGGGCTTGCTGCATCTGCAGCCTCCCAAATTGGTCCCAAGTGCCCTCTCTTCTCAGGTTTGGAGATGACAGGCAGGTGACTTTGGGTCCACAGCTCTGCCCCGCCCCCCTCTCCACAGGACCAGCCTCCATCCACAGATTCCCACAGCAGCCCCATTGCCATAGCAACGGCAATGGGAGGTCACAGCACTGGAAACCAGGGGGATGCCTCCCTCCTGGAATGCCACCACTGAGCCAGAATCTAATTTTCATTACAGCCATAATAGTGGTTTTGCATAATCGTACATATATTAATACCTAACATGCCTGTGTTTATTTGGTTAAAATTCATGAATTCAGGTCTAAATAAAAAGTGCTGATGGCTGAAGTTTTTTAGTCTCTTAAAATGTTATCGGGTCGTGGTTGTGTTTTCAAGCCAGTCTCTCTCCTTGGCAGCTGCTTTTAATCCCATTATTAATGGGTGAGGAACCAGGAGCCCCAGAAGGCATCTGCTCCCCAGGGGCCCATGCGGCTGGCCACAGGGGTGCGGGGTGCTAGCTGCGGGGCCTCGGAGGTGGTACAGCTGCTGGGGGGTCCCCCCCAGCCTGCGCCTCGCTGTGTAACCTGGGACATAGCACGTTGCTTTCTGCACTGGATTCCTTGGGTAGAGGAATGAGAGACAGGTCCTTCTGCTTCTGAAGCCCAGCCACGTGGGTGACACTCGCTGATATTTGGCCACTTCAGGCTCTGGACAGGAAGGAGGACTCATGGTCATTGTCCTTGGGCCAGGGCAGTCTGACGGGGGATTTTGTCAAGAAACAGACATGACACTGGGGAGGAAGGAGGGTAAGAAGGAGAAGTAGGAGCCAGGGGACAACAGGGGAGCCTCATCCAACCACCGAGGCAGCCAGAAAGGCTTCCTGGAGGAGGTGGCATTCAAGCTGAGCCCAGAAGGGATGTTGGGCAGGACAAGAGCAGTGGCCAGGTGAGGCTCCATAGTGCCCCCCCACTGCAGGAGGCTGAGGACAGGCTCAGGCATCCAGGACCACGAGAGCCATCTCTGAAGTTGGGACAGAGTTGGGACAGGATGGGACAGACCCTCAGCCAAGGAACACCGGCCTCAGAGTCCTGCCGAGAGCAAGGAGGAGGCAGTGGCAGCACCAGGGGCCTTGGGAGGGAGGAGAGTCCCTAGAAGGAGGCGATTCCCTTGTGATAGTTGCTTGGGGCCGACGGGGGAAGATGAGAGAGCAGGGTAGGGACAGAAGGGGCGAAGGCTGGAAGAGGAGCTGCTGCCGGGATGAGGCCAGCAGGAGTCCAGGACATCACCTCTGGCTGTGGGGAGGTGAGAAGGAGCCTGGTGGGGACAGGACACTGGCCTGGCACCGGCACTGGCAGGACTGTGAGAGTTGGTGTGAAAAACCAGGGACATCCTGAGCTCAGGGGGCAGCAGAAAGGGGAAGAAGGAAAGGAGGAAAGGAGGCTCCCAAGCAGTGTGATGGTCCAAGGTCTGAGAGGACGTCGGGGGAGACTGAGGGCACAGCCAGCCTTCCAAGGACCACACCAGCCAGCTGAGGGCCCAGGAGGGGCACAGGTATTGGGGAAGCCGACACTTGGGTTTTGGACTCGCTGGGTCTGAGGTCCATATAGGACATCGAGGAGGGGAGCCAGCAGGTCTGCAGTGAGGGAACGCAGACAGGGGCATAAGGCTCGCTGGGCACCTCCCAGACCCAGCTCCCACACTGAGCAGCTGGCCAGGGCCCCACAGGAAAGAGGCTGAGGATAGGGAGCTGCTGGCCCTGAATCCCAGGTTCCTAGGGCCCCAGTCAGACTCGGGCTCAGCCTGCTCTGAAGAGGGCCTTGCTTGATCTCAGCTTCATCAGGGGCAGTGCAGGAGCTGGGGCCTGGCCGCTGTCCTGGATCTGGGGCATTGTACAAACTGGGTGCTTGTGTCTGCACGCTCATGTGCACGCTCATACATGTGGACCCTCAACTGCACATGCTTCGGTTGGGCCCATCCCTCACCCTGAGCTAAGGCAGCCTCCTGAAGCAGGAAAGCCATTTAAAGGGTCCCGTCTGCCACACAGCTCCAGCAGGGAAGCAGGGTGCCCTGCGTATTCCCAGCCTCAGCCTGTCCATCGCGTCACCTGCTTGGGGCCAGGCAGGAGCTGAGACAGCGGCGCCAATTTCTCTTATGTCCAAAAACTGACAGCCACCCGAAAAGGAGTCCCAAAGCAGAGATGTGGAAGCAGGTATGAGGAGACCGAGGGTGACAATGGGACAGATGGATGGGGCTTGCTGTGTCCCTCTGTGCCCTGGTCCTACAGGGTCCAGGCAGTTGCTGGGGAGAAAGAAGACCCACCATGGAGGACCCAGCCTGATCCCAGGGAGCTAAGGAAGGGGGAAATCCTGGGCCACTTCCTCCATTTCCTACTGGGATCACCCATCCCTCGATCCTGGGATCCTGGCTCATAGCTCAGGCCTAGCCGATCCAAGTGTGGAGTCTCTAACACCCCAGTTAACCTTGAGTGTGGCTGAGCTGGGCCTTGCCTCCAGAGGAGAGGCTCTTGTTAATCTGGGGAGAGCAACGGGCAGGGCTAGAGCCTGGAGCCACTGTGATCTCTGGGAGAGGAGCAAATGCAGAAGAGAGCAGAGCCAATAGGTGGAGAAAGGCCATGTCCCAGTGACTCTCGTAGCCCTTGATCCAGCTACACTTGAAGCCAACTCCACCTCTTTTATGTAATTAGACCAGTTATTTCCTTTTGTTTCTTTCCTCCCTTCCTTTCCCTTTTCTTCTTTCTTCCCTCCTTTTTATTTTTGCTATCCTTATTCGGAAGTCCATCTGAGCTGGGCTTTTGTCCTTTCCAGCCGAAAGTATACTCGGAATACTGATAGTAGGAGACCAGGAAACCGCGCGCAGGATGAGTAGATGCACCGTCCTGTGTGGTCCTCTCTCCCTGATCTCGGTCCCGCTGCCAGAGGGCCCAACCCCACAGTCCCCACCCATGAGATGCCCGTCTTCTCTAGGTCCGCACAGCCTGAAAACAAAGGACAACCTGTCACATATACCCTGCCTCCCCAGGAAAAGCCCCAGTAGACACCCAGCCCCTCGCCCAGGGAAAGAAGAGACACACAGAGAAATTCCTAGATAGACGTCTGGGGTTTTATTCAAAACAACACTGGCCGTGCTGCCGCTTGGATTCTCTGTGCCTGGGCCATCTGGGCCAGCAGGGACCAGCGCCGTCAGCAGCTAGGAGGGAAGTTCATCACGCGATAGAAACTGTACAGCCACAGGGAGTGCTAATAGTTGCAGCGGCAGGGCCAAGGAGGGCTTCCTGGACGAGGTGGCCTCTGCCTCCTCCCCAGGCCCCAGCTTGGCCCTGGCTCTGCCAGGAACACTGATTATTGCACAAAGACAAAAAGGGTCTGTGTGTCTGGGCTAAAGAGCGGCTTCTAGGGCCCCAAGCCCTTCCACAGTGCAGCAAAGGGGGCTGGAGGTGGCCCTGGACGCAGAGGGCTTGGGTGGGGAGCAGGCAGACAGGCGGATACTGTGCAGCTCTGACCTCCTTCAAGGGACAGGAGGACAGCTGGCCAGGGCAGGCCACCGCCTGCGTGATCTCAGGTCCCTCTTCACCGACGCCAAGTCCCCACAAGCCTCCACTCCACACAGCCCTGCAAACAAAACCCTTAGGGTACTGGCACCTGGTTCTCCCTTCTCTGCACAGCCAGGCCCATGTGGATGAGGATAAGTTTGTGCTTTTGTGATGGACATGCTCGGCCCAGGTCACAGGGTCGGAGAGGGCAGAGAAGCCGTTTTCCCAGCCCTTTGGCCAGCTTGTCCTGGCCAGTGACTCCCAGCTTCCCTAGTCCCTGGTCCTCCAACACCCACAGGAACAAGGCCAAATGTCTGGGATGAGCATGTGGGGCCCTCCAGGAACTGGCTGCCGGCCACAGCTTCTCTCCTCAGCCACACCCACCTTCTCCATCTGCCCTGCTCTGTCCAGTCGCCTTCCCGCACGCCTGTCCCTTTGCCTGGTCGGCCCTCCCCGACGACCTGCTTGTTCTGGGGCCAGTCTGTGTAAAGGGACTGCTTTCTGTCAGACATGCCTGCTGGTCGTATTCTCCACTCAGTCTCCCAGCACCCGGTGACATTGGGAAGGGCTAGGCCTCATGCACAGGGCCACCCCGCCAATTAAAGATGACAAAGAATGGAGCCCCTGGGCCTGTCCAGGCCTGGCTTCCAAGTCTGCCAACTCCACGCTGGGCCCTCCGAATCATCTCCACTTTGGAACATGGGCTTTTTCTGCAAAGTCCATGGGCACCTTGCTTTCATTGCTGCCAGGGCCCTGTGGGATCCCGGGGTGGCTGCTTTACCTCTCTGGGCCCTGATTTCCTCAGATGTAAAATGTCCTGGCTACCACGGTTCCAAAGAGAAGCACGCTTCACCAAGGATGTGCGCACCATCTGCTTCCTCCTGGCTTTACCACGGCACCCAGGCCCCAGGATGCCAACCCAGAAGAAGCCCAGCGCCCTGTTCAAACAGCATACCCCTCACCAGCCTGGCTGGAGGCCGACTCCTGTGAAGCCAGGCCTTGGGAGCAGGGACGAGACCTCCTAGCAGGGCCCGGCAGAGCCCCCAGCCAAAGCAATGGCAGAGGCCCTGTGATGGCCAAGGTGCCACCCATCCCAAATACGCTGTTTCCACCCCGTTTGCAGACCACCACTATCAACACCTTCTGACCTTCTTTAAACTGACTTTAAATCCACACACTGTTTAGAATTCAGCCTTGACCTAAGCGGCGTGCCTCTGAAATACAGCTTCCATGTATTATATTTTTTCTAATAAATACTGAAATAAATGCATCGTAAATATTCAAATAAAAAAACACCCGTCTGGAACTGTTTGGGAAGCACTACTTGACCTGCAGCTCAGGAGGGTGAGACAGAGACCCAGGGACAGGTGGGTGGAAAGCAGAAGACACAGGCTACAGGGAGCAGGAGCTGGGGTAGGGAGAGAATGGTGTGGGGCCTGGACAGACGCCCCACCCGTGCTAATCCTGTTGGGCCTGCTGCTCCCTGCACTCCGAGGTGGCACAGGCAGAGCTGCTCAGAGCAGGGCGATCACACACCCTCAGGAACTGCGGCACTTCAGGGCTCACCTGGGGGGACTCCCAGAGTGCTCACTGGGGTCAGACCCTCACCGTGCCAGAGTCCCCTGTCCGGCCTGGGAGTTGCCCTCTACCCCACCCCTGCCCTAAAAAATATAACTACTCACCCCTGATTTTTCTAAAGAAAACATCTAACCAGTGACTAAGAGAGGTGTGTGCTCAAGGGTGTCTACAAAAGACTTCACAACAACGAGACAGTCAGAGGGACAAGACAGACACCCCAACACATGGGTGGTGGTGGTGGATCTTAGCAGCGTCTTTTCTTTACAGGGAAAAAAAAAAAGCACACCCTGAATTGCACCTCTTTGCTTGGGCCTGTCTCCTGGCTGCAGCCCTGGTCACCCTCTCAAGCTATTCCCAACCCAGGGAGACACCAAAACTGTGATGCCAATGCCCGGGCAGGATCCTTTGCCCTGGGTGGGCCTGGGTACCAAGCAGCAGACAAGACCCCTGTCCAAACCCTGGCCACACCCCCAACTTTAGCACTTTCTGGAAGTCATAAGCTCTCAGTAAAAAAAATAAATAAATATATATGTCTGTCTCTCTATATATATCTGCACATATATATGCATATGCACTGGGAGGGCCACGCTGGGCCACGGCGGGGTCCACCTCTGAGCCTGGCTAACCCAGACCCTCCTCCATCTCGCCCGCTTGGCAGCCTGGCGGTTGGCTGTCCCCGCGCCATTCCCAGGTGTGGACAAAGTATTGCTGTCTGCTCCCTGGCTCCTGAGGTAAAAGAAGGTGAAACGGGGCAGGCGGGCACACGGTGGGCACCGCGCGGCCCCTGCGGCCCCTCATCTCTTCCTCTTGCTCGCAGCATCTCCCGACTCCAGGTCCCCGGGGGGCGGCTGCGGCTCAGGTCCCAAGGGACCCAAGCTCGAGGACAGCGG